TCTCTCTTGGGGACAGAGAGTTAAGAAGTTCCTCTGTGGTTGTGCTGAGTTGCTTTACACCAAATTTATAGCCTCCCCACCCCTCCAGGACCTGGCTCCTCCAATATTCTTACCATGTAGGCTATCCCACAATAATACTAAACCAAATGTTATTATTGTAGAACTTAGACATCCCCATTTGTTTGGGGAATTCTCTGAAAACTCTCTTTTCTGAACAGTCCCTCACGTATCATCCTGTCCATGAAGGCACCCTACCCTCTCTTCTGCTTTCAACCATACCTTTAAAGGAAATTTCTCTATTAGTTTTAAAGGAAAGCTTTGTTTTTAATGCAATGTACTGTTCCTTTTTCATGTTATCCTCCCTTGACATCTGATCACAGCTCCAAGGTCCTCACTCTAAAGCTAATTCCTGATTGGCAATTATGTGTCAGCCTCTTTGATAAATCAACAACTACAGTGTTCTTTTTCCTTTCTCTAACTTTTCTTTTGAAACTTCTTTTATAAAAGAGTGCAAAATGAATCAAAAGTGTAGACTACGCAGTATGCTTGCTGACTTCTGCTATAACACATTCATGTCAATATTTGACTGAAAGACTCTACCTTAATGAATAAAGTGGAAGAAAGCTCTAGGATGATTCCTGATGTCGATTTTACACTTCCACATACATGCATACCTGCACATACATGTATGTAAGAGCGCATGTACACACATACACAAGCAAATATATATATGCCTACATATATGCACACCACATACACAAAAAATGGAAAGAGTTTGCATTTTAATATACACAAAATGTTTTTGGAATAAAGGTTTGTATAAACAATCTATGTTTAAATGTCCATGGAAAATTATTTTGACACATTTTAATTGTAAAAATATAAACAATGAGTTGGAACATAAGGAAGGATGAGGAACAGAAAACTAAGGATGGAGTAAAGGACAAGAAAGTCCATAAAAATAAAAGGTAAACTGAAGAATGGTATAAGGTAGAATATTTTATACAATTAATATGATTGTTCTTGCCTGGGACTTGATACCTTAAGAAAATCATGGTTTATTCTTATTGAAATCCTCAGCATATAAAAATACTTGATCAAAAATCTATGGGGGTTTTCTTATTAGAGTTGAAAACGAATTTTAGGAAAGGTTGAACCTATAATAAAATCTGACACAAAATACCATTGTTTGCACAGAGTTCAGAGACAGTAATTGGCATATATTCGTTACATATAATGTCGGTCTCAAGGTATTTTCAAACAAGTATATCATGTATTTTGATCATATTCATGTCCTGTATTTTCCTTTATCCTCACTCTTTACTTTAAATTCAAAGTCCACACAAGTGTTTCCATCTCTTTCTCCATTTTATTCCATTATAATTCTCTCAAGCAAGGACAAAATATTCAAAAGGAGCTTAGGATATAGATACTCTCCTCCCCCACCCCCACCACCGCAAAATTACAAGCTATAGTCACTGCTCTTGATCTTGCTGGTAAGACCTTATTGTTGAAGATACCACACACTTGAGTCACTTGAAGAAGTATCATTCCTACTGGTTAGCTTTCATTGTAGAAAGGTACTATTCATGCTATGGAGGGAATTAAGTAATTAATAGTATTAGCCAGCTAAGCTGTCAGTGAGTGGCCTGGTAAGAGATGCCTGCCAGTGCAATAGAACGATATGGGAGTAAGCAATCAGTTTGTGATTAGATTGAAGATTGTTCCACTAGGTGGAACTCATGCCTGTCACCTGGCACCTTTAATGGGCCCAGGAGCCTATAGCTGGGTAAACCAAAAGTCCCAAATGGAGAAACTACTACTATTACTCTGCTGAATGGATACAGTATTAAACCTATTCTAATGATACTTTTCTTTATAATCAGTGATCAGTGCAACTGTCAACTTTCTTCAGGGAAGCTTTCTTTCTCAAACTGTCAGCCCCAAATCATAACACAGAGAATTGTTAGTTATGAATGCTCAGTCTTAACGTATGCTTGTTCCACTAGTTATTATACCTTAAATTAGCCTGTTTTTCTTCATCTATGTTTTGCCTTGAGGCTTTTTACCTTTCATTCATTCTGCATGTTCTCCTCCATGACTGGCTGGCTGGTAGCTGCCTGGCTGACTGGCTCCAGGCGTCTCCCTGGCTTTCTACACCATTCTCTCTGGAGCCTAGATTCCTCCTCTACTTATTCTCTCTGCCTGCCAACCCCACCTCTACTTCCCAGCTATTGGCCATTCAGCTTTTTATTGGATCAATTAGGTACCTTAGGCTGGCAAGGTAAAACAGCAACACATCTTTGCCTAGTTAAACATATGCAGCATAAGCAACTGTAACACACTTTTATACAGTTAAAGTAATAGTCTACAATAGTGATTAATACAAGGACACAACTAATCAGTATGAAGATAATGAGAGACCATGGTGTGCTCAGCCCTAAATGATAGATCTATATATCACACACCCACAATCCAAGGTTCCAGGATCATTCTGAAAGAGTGGGCAAAAAGACTAAGAGCCAGAGGTAGCAAGTGAGTACAGTGAAGCACAACTATCTTGATATGACAGGGCCACATGAACTCACAGATGCTACTGACTGCATGTGCAACACGTGCAGAAGATCAAGGAAGAAAATATCCCACCTCTAGTTGAGCAGCTATACACCACTGATGGCTTCTGGTAAAGAAGAGGCAGATTTCTTCAGGGATGTGGCCCACTATGTACCAGTAGACAGCCCTATACTTAATGCACATTTGGGCATCACCAAGTAGACTTTGTGGGTTTAAAGAGAAAGCAGAAGAAATTCTGAGGGAATAGTGGAGGGGATATGGGAAGAATTGAGGGGGAAGGAATGGGAGTGGATTTAACCACACACATTATATGTATGTATGGAATTCTCAAACAATAAAAAGAATATCATGTAAATACATATGCACACAACCTAACTAACACAGCATGCTTAAAAATATTATCCTTCAAAAGTTTTAATTCTAAATCTAGTACTTGCCTTAGTAACTTTGATTTAGAGATAATATCCAGAAATTCTAAAAATGGCTTATAGTCCAAGCAATAAATGGCATAATAAAATGAGCAAACAGGTTTCAAAAGATAAATTAAAAAGGTGCACATCATTAAGAAAAAATGTTCAACATCCTTAGTCACTAGGGAAATAAAAATTAAAACAAAACTGAGATTTCCACCATAGCTGCTCAGAATTGCTATCATTAACCAAACATTATTAATAATAGGATGTGGAGAAAATGGAACCCTCATATACTACTGCTGGTAGGAATATAAACGGAGTCACTCTATCCCTGGTGATATACTCAAATGTCTCTAAATCAACATATAACACAGTAATGTGCATACTCATATTTACCTCAGCAGTATACACAATCAACAAGTTACTGAATCAGGTTAGGTATCCACTAAGGGATGACAAAAACTATTTTCCACACACACAAAATGGAGTTTATTTAGCCACAGAGGAGAATGAAATTGTGCATCCGGGCAGTGGGACAGTGGTGTACACCTTTAATCTCAGCACTGAGACGGCAGATGCAGGTGGGTATCTGTGAGTTGGAGGCTAGCCTGGTCTACAGAGTGAGTTCCAGGACAGCTAAGGCTACACAGAGAAACCCTGTCTCACAAAACAACAACAAAATGTATGGGATTGAAGAGCATAATAGTAAGTGAAATAAGTCAGACTCAGTGTAAGCCTATTTCCCTATTTGCTGAGTCTGCTTTGCATCCTTTTACTACATCCCTAGGGAAACTACCTGCAGTGCCCTGTGACTCCTGCTAGTAAATATGAAAACACTATATACATTAATTATGTGCAATGTTTAGATAAACATCTTAGAATGTATAGACACTAAAATCAGCTGAAAGAAGAAATATCATTTTATATACCAGCTTCTCAAGAAGAATGAAATTAGCTAAGGACAGCTTTTACTAACACAAGAATTATAAAATTTTGTGATCTATATTTGCATAACAAAAAACATTTAAGAAGGCATTATTTACTATGTAGGATGACATATACAATTAACTACCCCTTCCATATCTATTTGTACTTCTCTTGTGAATTAAAAAGTAAAAATATTGGTGGTTCTGCTTCCACCTGAGCAAGGTGGTCATGGCCCAGCTGCCGGATTGATAGAGCCCAGAGACCAGCCACTCTGGTGCTGACCCAGGCTCGCTTCGCCAGGGGCAAGTTTTCCTAGGCACAAGCACTGTACTTGGCTTTCACTGGCCAGTGCACGAGTTGCACGAGCAAATGCAGCCCCGAGGATTTGGTCATCACATATAACAACAGGGGACAAACCAAGTACCTCAGCGTTGATTTTTATGAAGCCATGGACGACTACAAATCTGCTGTAGAAACCCTGCCCAACTCTGAAGTTCCGTATTACAACAGGGGCTTGATATGCTTTAGGCTGGGATATTTTGACAAAGCTTTGGAAGATTTCAAGAAAGCACTAGACCTCAATCCTGAATTTCAAGATGCTATTTTGAGCTTAAGACAGACTATTTTAGACAAAGAAGAAATGCTGAGAAAAGTTACTGAAACTTTTTTTTTGGGGGGGGGGGATTTTGAGACAGGGTTTCTCTGTAGCTTCGGAGCCTATCCTGGAACTAGCTCTGTTGGACCAGGCTAGCCTCGAACTCACAAAGATCCGCCTGCCTCTGCCTCGCAAGTGCTGGGATTAAAGGCATGCGCCACCACCGCCCGGCATTACCAAAACTTTTAATTTATTAAAATTTTAACTCATGATCCTTAAACCTCCACTAAGATATACATGGAACTATTTTGATTATATGTAAGAGACTGAATTTTAGAAGTTAAAGCAAAATAATTGTTTAATTAGAGTTATTCATTTCAAGAAAGGCCATGTTGGTTAGATCTCTTAATAGAGTAAATAAGTAATATCAATGTACATTGTTATGGTAAAATATTTAAATCAAAAAAGTAAAAAGATTAAAAGCAGTCTACCTTTTTTATCTTGGCCTTTTCAGCTTTTTCTTCTTTATCACATTTCTTGGCATTCCTATTAAGTTCTTTTGCAGCAAACTTCAAGCTAAATAAGTGTTCTGAAAATATAGGTTAAGGCCAGCTAGTCAAAAAGTCATTTTTCTAGCATAAAGACCCACAAACTTGACATTAAAAAAATCATCAAAAAATGATCAGATAGTATTATAATTTAACTAACCATAAAACTTCAGAAAGAGAACTATTTCTTTTAAACTTCCTTTCATCCAAAATCAAGAAAATAAAATATTAATTACAAAGGAAAATAACTATTCTAAAGAAACTGGGTAGACTTCATTTTAGGAGTTTAGTGTCATCAGTAAGAAAGCATGTCCATATTATTATCTTTCTGAAAGAGAGGAAGGCATCATCATCATGGCACTGTTGCTATAAACAAACTCATTTGTTGTAACCTTTCAAGAGTCAAATTCATGAAGAGCAAGGAACAACTCAATAAGTGTCACAAATTGGAGACTACAGAGACAAGGTGGTTGACTAATGAAACTCTACTGGAAAGCTCTGAGAAACTTTACCAATATGAAGGCAAAGCAAGAATGTGGAGGCAGAACTAAAGCAGAGAGCATGGAGTAACTGCTTACTAGCTTGCTCCGCTTGCTTTGCTTTCTTATTATCACCTAGGGCAATGTGCCCAGGGACAGCAGAACAAACATTAAATCATTAATCAAAAAATGCCTCAGGGAGCTGCCTACAGGTGTTCTCTCTTCCCAGATGATTAGCTTGTGTCAAGCTGAACAATAAAACCAACCACTACAAGTAAAACAGAAAACTGAAGAAAGCTGAGGAGAAGATGAGCTATCTGGAATACAGATCTGAATTACAGGGAGAAGAGAAGAGCAACAGAAGTAGACTAAGATGGTTTTATAGTATCTGGAGTACTTGGGCTAGAGGACTGAATCTGTGGGTAAAAGCACTGCTGGCTCTTCTAGAAGACCCGAGTTTAATTCCAAGCATTCATAAAGGAGCTCCAACTGCCTATAACTCCAGTTTCATGAGATTCAGTGTTCTTCTTTGGCTTCCAAAGTCAACAGGCATGTATGTAGGACAGAGATACACATGCAGGTAAAACACTCCTACACATATAACAATAAATTAAGAATAAAAAAATTTAAAAATCTGGAATCCTATGGGAAAAGATAATAACAGTGTGTAAATGATAATACTTAATGAGAATGTGTGACTATTCTGTAACTAATGAGCATAATAAGATAGTTACAAACAGGCCAAATAAGCGTAACTCATATCTAGATGCATCATAGTAAACCTACAAACATCAAAGACTAAAATAACTTTGAAAGAACCACAGTCAAAGTTCAGACAATTTATAAATGATATAGCCAAACAGAGTAGAACTTCCAAATAAAACTCCTAAGTAATTACCAAAGGATTTATGGTTGTACACTATTCAAAGTAGTAATAGTCTATCAAACTGCCATAAATACCAGTGGCAAACACTGAAGTATTGCTTCTAAAGAGAATCTAGGGTTTGGTTCTTATGTGTTACATTTTCATCAACTGATGTATTTTATGTGTATTTCTGTTTTAACAACTATTTAATACATATTGTTGATTCAGTAATAGCAAATTCTTAGCTAAAAATTATTAAGTAATTCTTTAGCTATAATTCATGACTGAAAACTTACATAAAATAATAATTTTATCTACAAGGCACACCACAGCCTTCTCATACTAAAAACACTAAATAGCACATCAGGACCTATAGTTGGGGACTATTTTAAATAGTGGAATTATAAACATAAGGCACAGAAATACAGAAAATATGGTATTAAACAGAGAGCAGTAGATACTCATTTACAGTAGAGGCATTCATTCCCTTTCCTAAGTGGGAAATAGGAACATTGGATGAGTCCAAAGTTTACTAATCTAGGCAAGTTAAAAACATCATTTGTGCTAGTTTGCTGTAAGTTTTGTCACGTAAGCAAATTTGCAAATACAGAATATTTCAATAATAAACTTAGCTTCTCAAGAAACTAAACTAGATCTAACAAAAGGCTTAAAGAGCACAGAATGTTATCCAGGAAATGCTGTTTACATTAGAGAATCACGGTGTCCAATTTTAAGATTAAAAATGCAGAACACAAGCAGAGGAAAATACCTAAGACAAAGGAAAGGAGGAGTTGAGTATGTTAAAACATTCGTGCCATTCACAAGTAAACTGTCATTCATTAAATTTAACATTAACTATGCATGTTAAAATTTCAAGGGTACCACTAAAAAATAGTATGTAACTTCCAAAGTAATAAAGGAAAAAAAAATGTGAACCATTTACAGACTCAACAGAAAGCAACAAAAGAGTAACAAATCTAGAGATAAAAGGCCAAACAGAAATTATACATTAAGTAGAAACTTCTTTCAAATGTGGGCTGGCCAAATAGCCCAGTGGGAAAAGTGCTTGCTTAACAGGCCTGATGACCTGAGTTTTATCCCCAGAACCCATATAAAAAAGGAGTTCCATTCCCAGAACATACTTTAAAAAGCTTCACGGGGTGGTATGCATGCATCTGTAATCTCAAAACTCTTACTGAGAAATAGGAAGAGAAGACTAGAGAACTGCCCAGAAGTTCTTGGTCAGCTAGGCAGGAATACACAGTGCAGCAGAAACATTAAGAAAGACTATGTCTGTATAAGGAAGAAGAGGAGAACTGAGTCTCAAAGGCTGACCTGTACATGTGTACTGTAGTGCAAACACAAATGAGTGAAGATAAATAAAACTCAACAAGAAGAAACATTCAAAAATTATGATGGATTAAAAAATAATGAACCAAATGATATACAGGACTTTACAATGCAAGGACATTGAATGATAAGATGGCAAAACACAGAAAAAATAATCAAACAATATTCTAAAATAAGAAGCCACGAGTTTATTATTATCAATTAAAACAATACAAAAAGTCAGTAAAGAATCTGGAATCAAGAAATATATCAATATACCTTAAGAGTATACATGTATGATTAATATATAAAGAAATGACCTGAAATCATTAATGTTAACTTTTAGATAGTAGCATCTGCAGTAAAAGAAAAGAGGAATTTAACTGATAACTTTATAGTATCTTAGGTCAAATAGAAGTCTCTCAGGAATGTTTTACTCTTTTTCTTAACTTTCTTAAGAGGGAAGGATTAACATTACACGTTTTAAAAAATCAATTTAGAATAAAAAGTTAGTGTTTGTTTGGCATAAAGTATGCATTCAATAAGTTATATTATCATTTACTAAATTTCAATTTTAATAAAGAAATTTATTTAGAAAGTATATCAAAAGTTCAAGTTTGTCTTTAGAGCATTATATAAAACTAGTATGCGCTATTACACTGTTTTTCTCCATTACAGCTTTTCAAAAATCATTAGGATTCCAAGAATTCATTGTATATAAAGAAGACTTAGTTTAAAATAGCATTCATCTCCTTACTATAGAAAATCTGTGACAGTTCACTATAAGCTGATAGTAAGATCTCTAAATACAGTAGTTTAGAAGCTATTTTATTACAAATGCCACCAACTAGATTATACGATTCCTGATGAACAGAAGTAGAGGTTGAAAAAAAATACAGGTAAGAGGTAAAAAAGAGTTTCCAGGAGAGTGTTGGGCTCTCGTGAGAGATGGCTCAGTTATGGTTAGCATTTGCCAGTCCTGCAGAGGATCAGAGTTTCCCATGCCAGGTAAGTCAAAATCATCTCTAGCTACAGCTCTGCCAGGATCAGACACTCCTTCGGTCTCTGCATTCATGTGCTCAGACCCAGACATACACATAAACACACATTAAAATAATTAGAAATAAATCTTTATTTAGTTGTTCCACTAATAGCTGTCCTACGATAAAAATAGTGGTACCAATATCACGGGACATTTATTTGATAAGTGGCATTATCCTTTTACCTTTCTGTCATTGTAAGCACCTTAAGTACTCCTGTGTATGTTTTAGGGAGGTAAATTTGGAATCAAAGAATCAGGTGAGGTCATCTGAACTAAAAGCAACTTTAGAGATAATTTTACTAATTTGAAAACATAAACTTACAGATGGATAAGCATGGAGTAACTAATGAATATAGAAACAAAGAGGAACTCAAAAGCAGCTTATCTCTTAGGTCATACATTGTATTTTAACAATTACAGGGAATTGTTCAAACTGTCCTTTAAATGGTATGGAAAGGAAGACCCAAAGTAACGTTTAATACTTCTTGTAAATGACAGCATTCTGTTGATCCCACAAGCCATAAATTACGTACATATTAGCAAGGAACCAATTTAATGATACTGTAAACACTGGAACTAATTCCAGTAAAGAGACTATGCCTCCCACTGACCCTTCAGAAAGGTTGACTTAACTGATTAGAGTTTCCTTGACTGAGGAGAGCTTGGAATTTTGCAGGTCCGGGCCCTGCTTTACAATTTCTCTTGGGCTATCTTTAGTCCCCTTAACAGCCATTCCTTGGCCACCTGGCTGACCTAATATCCTGTGACTAACAGATAAAACATTCTGAAATATATTAACAGATCAGCAGCTTCCACCAAGCAAAAGGCTGACTGTTCTCGGATATATCTGAGGCTGGGATTTTCCCTCTTTGCTGTGACCCATCTAGCTGATGTCTCCACTGATATGTTAGGAAAGAGTCTCGAATTACAACTTTATTCTATTACTATCAAAACGCATTAAATTATCACCACATTGGAACATGGAGTTTGGGAAATCCTGAATCTATGTCCTTAGGCCGTGATTACTCAGATTTCACTCATATTTAACTAGGACGCCCCTTTCAAGTGAGAATGGTTATTTATGTTGACAGTACCTTGATAAAAAATACATCATAGTGTATTTTATCAAGTCTCGAAAGTCTGGTACCAGTATATAACTCGTTCTGTTTTAGGATTTAAAGTGATTCATAAGATCTGCAATGACTAACAGCTATTTTTAAGGAGCTAGCTATTTTTGTGTACACATAGCCCCGGGTGATAGCTGTCCAGAACTCCCTTTTTGAACTCAGAGTTAAGTCCAGTACTTATCATGAACTTCATTGGTTCATAACCTCCTTCAAGTTAGAATGCATAGAAATAATCATGGCTACAGACAGTATCCCTAGCAAAAAAAGGCACATAGTAATATTCAAAACTGTGCACACAATTTTAAACCATTTAGTTTAACTCTACACATCATCATTCATATGATTCAGTAGGAGTTATTTTGCATTAGTATTTATGTTCATATATATGTGACCTCTGGCCCCCAGATCCAAAGCTGTTAAAAGTTGGAAGTAGTATGTATGTTTACGCACATGTATCCACTATATAGGTATATGGTTTAGTCAACTAGCTCCGTTCCTTTCCAAATTTCTAGGAAAAGAATTAACAATTTTAAGCTATTCAAATAACTCACACATCAGTGTTTGGTCAAAAATACAATTTGGTAGGCACTACCATTTCCTTTTACCTTAAGAATACCTTCCTAGGGTTGAAAGGTCAGTTAATACACTTTCCGAATGAGTCAAGTGGGTGACAGAGGATGGATGCCATGCCTTAACTCGGTTTTTTCCCCTTTGGACATGGGGGAAAGAAAACTTATCTTCTGACTCATAATTCTGAGCCCTTCACTTTACGGTATTATTAAAAGTACACTACATTCATTACTTTTTCTAAAGTGCAGTAGAAACTGGACCTTTCTTAATCATCTATTCTTTTCAATGAAATGACCTATCTGCATCCTTCCTCAAAGGATAACATTTTAATTTTCGACATATTTTGGCTAGTGCTACACAAGTTATGTTAGCAAAATTTTATGTGTGACATAAAATTTAATTCATCAAAAAGTTTGCCTGTATAAACTAATGAACCAAAACACCTTCTAAAATGAGCTACTGAACAGTTAGCTACATTTTACCTTCTTGCCACTTTGGCCTGGGGGGGAAAAAAAGGCCTGGAAAGAAAAAGCCAATTATTCTACCTCTAATGCCAACTTCAGGAAGAAGTAAGAATTACAGCAACATGGAGTTGCTGTGATGGAATTTTAGTAGTGAAAAAAACATTCATACTCATGACATCACGAGGCAGCTTCATTCTTATCCCCTAAGTGTCCACACAGGTATGGCTGATGAGATTTCAAGGCTTCAGGAATGACCTTAGTTTCCTCAAGTGTTTGTTAAATTAGCATGCAGCAGGTTCAAAAAGCAATCAAGAGTTAGTGCGGAGGGCTCCGGGCAATTGCTCAACCTTATCACCTCAGTCACCTGCAATCGGAAAAGGGCAGCTCGCCAGAAACTATTCGTCCACGCAAAGCACTCAAACCCAACATCTCCGCCTCACAGCAAGCATAGGCAAACTCCAGCCGCCTCCCCTCTGTTCTGGCACCATTCCCTGTCAATTTCAAAGATGACAAAATTCACTGATAAGGCAGGTGACAGAAGTGCTCAACAAGAAGCGGGAGGAGCTCAATTATCTCCATCTGTCCACAGGCTTCCCTGACCCTCCCCACATTCTAGGATGGCGGTGGCGGCTGCAGCAGCAGCGAGGAGGGGGGGGGAAAGTCAAACCCCCGCTGCTCCTGGCTTGCGCTCGAGCGCCCGCACGCCACCCGCGGACCAAAAAGGTCAAACCCCTGGGCGTGTCTCCTGCCCCTGCCTTTGCCCTTTCCAGGTTCCCAGGGCCCCGTAGCACCCCCGACCGTTGGAAAGGATACTCTCCATGTTCGACATGATCTCACGAGTTCGCGGGGCTCGGAGGGGGGTGGGGGCTTTAACACTAGGGACAGGGACTGGACCGGTGGCGGGTCGCTAGGGTGCGGGGAGGCAGGCGCTGCTCCAGGCTTCTGGGGTTCCGAGCCACTTCCTGTTTCGGTTCGGGGGGGGGGGGGGGGGGGGGGGAAGCAGTGGTGGGTGGAGTCCCGTGAGCCACAGAGGCGGGTCTGGGACGACGCCAAAATGGCTGCAGTGAGTCGCCTTGGTTAGGACGGGCTCCGTCGCTGGGGGGCGGTGGAGATCCAAGAGCCGTGGCCGCCAAGGTCCCTCCCCCTCAGCAGCTTCACGTGCGCTCAGGATAACTCTGCGCTCAACCTGGTCCGGCATCCCACCAGCCTTCTAGTTCTTTCTTTTGTCAACCGGGACTCCGCTTAACGTCCTGCCCCACCTCGAACCTCAGATTTCACACTGTCTTTGGCGTCCCCCATCTCTTTTTCTCAGAACTTAAGTCTTAAAGGATGAAGACAAAGGTATAGGACTTTTAAAGTACTTTTTAAAAAAATTCTAACAGTGTAAAATAAGGGCTTGAGGGGTTAGTGCAGCTGGTAATGTTGAGGTTTTCTAAAGGCTCTGATCCTTCGCGTTTGAGGCTAGAAGGGGAAGGGGGAAAGTGAGGCTCTGCTTGCAATGTAATGTTGCTGCGAAATACCTTTTCTTTAGAATAGACAATGTGTGATGTAAAATTAATATAAAATCTTTATAATGGGTGGGAGTGGGTTATTATAAGCAGTAGATAGTGCTTGGCGTTTTTTACATGCGACTTATGAAAATGTCCAGAGGTGAATGTATTCGATGTCCTCTCTGGACTTAGGAAAAGAGGGAATCTTAAGCATTATTGGGACGTTTTAATTTTGTTATGATAGAAATTACATGTACTAACATATAACTTTGAAAGTTGGTATAATTATCGTAATTGATAAGTGTCAGAAGTTCGTCATTTATTGCATCTTTAAATTCAACCTGTGGAAATGACATATTTTTATCCTTAGGATTATTTCTTTAAAAAAAAGCTGGCTCTAAAAGGGAATATTTTGTTTTGTGCTGATGGTGGTTGGCAATGAGTTTCAGACTGTCTTCTAACTAGGAACTGAACTGTCGGTGCTTCTTTAAAGAAAAAAGGGGGAAAAAATCCTTTCTCAAGACAAGGCTCTGAGGAAGTGCAATCTAGAAATCATTTCAATAGACGGAACAGTGTAAAGATTATTTTTAGTTTTGTGTCTCACTTTATAGTTGAAGAACAAAACTTAGGTTATAAAAAGTAAAACTTTGGAAGTTCTATCAGTTTTCCGTGTGAGTTCCACAGTTGTATTCACTGCTGGAAAATTTGGGGATAAAGGTAAAGGTATGTTTTAAAAGATCTTTCCCTTAGCATTTACTATTTTTAATATCATTCTGTCAGTAAAACCATAGGACAATCTACCAAAACTTAAACACTTCTAGGCTTTAAAAGCTGTGAGGTTGTTACAGTTACATGTATATAATGTATAAAAATAAATATTAAATCTTAATTTTTTTCAAATTATAGAATTTCCCAACAGTCATCTTCTTGGAATAAGACCATTTATTAAATAAGATACTTGTTTAAAGAGAGTATTTGCTCTTGCAAATACTCTTAACTTAAAAAAAAAAACCTGTTGTATAGCCTGCACTAAACTTAATAGTTTTTTTTTTTATTTTTAATGAGGTCTTTAATGCTTTGAATGCCAAAGTTATCCTCATACTTTCCTTGAATATCTGAGTTTTTAAAGTGAGTTTTATGAAAAAAATTAATTTAGCTAGAAAAATTGAAACTGCTTAAACTCTGTGTGTGTTGCGTTAGAATGACTGCTATAGAAAGAAGTGGCTCCCTGTTAAGATTACAAAGCAGATTAGAAAAGTACAGAAAACAGACTACAGCTTGAATTATGTAGTAAGTGTTTGATACATTTAAACAGTATTTCTAAAATATATGCACCACAGTTTTCTGTGTATGGCATACAAAGTAATTCATTAGTAACCTGTCACCCAATTTCAGGAAATAATCCTATTTTCTCTGAATTCACCTGTGTTCACTTAGCAGGACGTTCCTAACTCCAGGCCTCTTTTCAGAAGCAGCTTCTTGTTTGAATTCATGTATAATCTCTCCACTTTTAAAAAATAGTTTTGCTGTAGTGTTTGCATTTCGAATCAATATATTAGAGTAGCCAGCTTTTTAATTTTCTTATATAAATGAAATCATACTGCTTTGTGCTCCTGTCCTGCTTTTGTAGCTCATCATATAGTTGCTAAACTGTGTTAAAATATACAGTGGTGATGGATTTATTGTGCTGCTCTAAAGTATTCCACTGTATGAATTTATCATTAATTTATCCATTTTCCTAATGATAGTATTTGGATTCTTTCTAGGTTGTTGTAACCTCTAGAAATATATGTGCCTAACATATATTTTGATGAAGAGTAACTTTCAAAATGCCCTGTGATATTTGTAAAAAAATTTTGTAAACTTAGGCAAATTTATTTACTTATTTTTATTATAATCATATTTCCTTTTGTTTGGGATAATCTTGTTTTTTTGCCTATGCCTTTCTACTGGGTGTAGCAAAAACCTACTACCTTGTCTCATCAAATAGGTTGCTTCCTTTTCCTTTTTACTATGGTTATCCATAGCTTCTTTTGGGGCCAAACTATCTATGAAGATTTAAATACAGCAGTCTAAGTCCCATGTGGGATAGTAAAATATGATTATTTTCATCTGCTTGTACTTGGAAGGATGAACTGTAATTTCTATGGCTTTCTGCAATAATGATGAAGATCTAAAGAAAGAGTGAATACCTTGTCTTAAGATGATTCCATAGCTATTGCATGTGTTAAAACTTAGCCTAAACAAAGCGAATGTGGGAAATTATAATAATTCCTCAGGAAATTGAGTGTTTTTCATGATTAATCATGGTTAGTTCTATTAATTGAGTTAGTTACATGAATAAGCCTTTTAAATGAAAATATTTATAAAATAATCTTAACATAACTACTAAAATTTTAATATTTGATGTGACTGCTTTGTGACAATGGCTTTTGTAACTTTTTAGCTAATGATTTTGAAGTAACTAGAAAGTATAATGGTTCATTACAGCTAAGCACCATTGAACTGGAAGGAAAGGAATGCTCTACAAATGAGAATAGTGTAGTTTTATACAATATTTTTCAGATTTTCCTGTCCTGTTAAAGTTGCAGGTCTTTCTAGATGTTCTCTAGGGAAAGAAGTTCAGTTGTAGAAATGCTGGAGAAGTATAAACTGAGAAGTTTTCCCGTTTAGATCAGAAAACCTTTTTATTATGCCATTTCGGATCTCATTTGCAAATTGTACCAGCAAAAAAAAATATTGAAGTAACTGATGAAAGAGATTAGAGCTACTGAAGAGATAAAGCTCTATTTGTGCTAGCAAATAGAAGACCAGATGAAAACATAGTTTAAACACAAGCAATATGGTCAGGCGTGGCGTCACAGGCCTAGAAACCTAGCACTCAGCAATATGGTCAGGCATGGTGTCACAGACAGGCCTAGAAACCTAGCACTCAGGAGTCAGAGGCAAGAAAATTGCTGAAAGGTTGAGGTCAGCCTGGTCTACATAGTGAGGTCTAGGTTAGCCAGGGCAGCATAGCAAGATGATTTCAAAAAAATTATTCTCCCCAAAATAAATAAATAACACTAACAAAACTAATACAAACAAAAGGAATAGGTCTGATTGATTGACATAGGTGTCCTAAAAATCATTGAGTTTATGATTAGAAAATGATAAATGAATTTATGAGATAAGATATATAAAGAGATAAACATAAAGGTAGGCATGGTGGTGCAAGTCTGTAGTTCCAGCACTTAGGAGGCAGAGGCAGGCAGATCTCTGTGAGTTTGAGGCCAGCCTCGTCTACAAAGGAGTTCCAGGATAGCCAGGGTTCTTATACAGAGAAACCTGTCTCAATAAAATAAATAAATAAACAATATGTAGATATTTAATCTCTAGATTTCATTCTTATTTAAATAATAAAGGGTGATATTTGATCATTACAGTGTCTAGAATCATCAGAAGAATATTTTTTCAGTAACATCTGATTTTCACAGAGCAATCAAGACAAAATTTTCCCTCTGTCAGGAAACCTTTTGAATACTTTAATAATCAAAATAAAATTACACTTTATCACTAAAAGATGTGATTGATTCTTAAAAGATGGCATGATAAGAAAGAATAAAGCATTCGCTGTCATTAGAGATACTTTATACTTGAGAATAGTTCCACATTAATTTTAGAAATTGCATGATTGACAAATTGTTTAATATAGATATTAATATGCTGAGAAACCCATTATTAAATAAACCTTTTTCTTTATTATTTTTTCATGCAGACACTGTTTGAAGAAAATTGTTAAGTGGAGAAGTAAAAAGAGATTTTTTTGAGAAGTGCAAATGAAGACAAAGTAAGAAAAGATAGTTCCTAAAAAAACTGTCATGTATTCTTACATTCTATTTTATTGGCCACTGAACCAGCACATTTACCTATAGATAGTGAATTTCTTTACTACTTTGTTATGAGCATACAACTCTTCACTCCATACTGATTTTCAAGTCAGAACTCCATCAAAGTCATTAACATGGCTCTTATTAGTTTATCTAGTAAAATTAGAGAAACACCTAAAATGGTTTTTAAAATTTGAGTCTTCTGTATTTATTGCATTAAATAATTTTGGAATATATATTATATTCGATAATTATATCCAGTGGTTCGGGGATATTATTCTACAGTGTGATCACAAATTTTTTCTCTGGCCAAAGATTTCTCATATGTTGCTATAGGCATTTGAGGTGGGACAGTTCTTTTGGAAATGGGGTTGTCATATGCAGCATAGGATGCTCAGTATCATTTCTGTCTCAGTCTGTAAACCAGTAACCCCCTCCAAGTTATGATATAGCCAAATATGTCTTGAGATATCACCAAATATTCTCCCTGGGATGCAAATCAGTCCTAGTTAAGAGTGACTTAATCTCACTTTAGAATTTTTTTAACATTACCTCTCTATTAAGCCATCAAGATTGACAACAGTAATAGCAACAAAAATAGATTTT